ACTTTGGAAATTTTCATGATTGGCGTGCAGCACTGCACTACTGTGCATTCACATTTTCTTTAAGAGGGATAATTACATAAACCTCCCCTCGGGTCCTGACAATTGCGCCACCTCCCTTGAGATTTGAAAAATTACACTTATCCACCCCTCTTAGTGTTATAAAAAGAGTATTGACAACTTCACAAGTTCTAAGTGAAAATTGAGTGTAAAGGAAAAAAGTAAGCGACATTTTGCAAATATTTTCTTATCCAAAACCTCTAAGTTCATCTCACCTAACACGTTGTATTCAATTGCTAATTCCTTTAAATGGATTTCTTACCTAGTTTTATAAATAGCCTGTATAATAGGGATGCATTTGTTAAAAAAGGGTTTCTTCACGACTTACTTAGCAAAAAAAAAAAAAAAAAAGCCCGCGCATTAAAAAAACGATGCCTTAGAACATAGCCTAGATTTTGCTGCAAGGGCCTATCTTAAGATTATGTACTTAGCAAGTATTGCTGATATTTGATTTCTTTCTTTTGTCATTTAATATATTTTGTGCAATATAAGATATTCATTGGATTTTTTTGTGCCTGCATCATCATTTGTTACCAGATCATCATATTTTGTTGGGGAATTTTTTGAACCTCAAGGGAGGTAGTTGCAATCATAACAAACCCTTTTTTTTTTGGCCTTTTTCGCTTTGATAAAATAAAAAACTTTCGATTAGGGCTACAAATATAACGAGGCTGGCTGATGGCAGCCCATGACTGGGCATAAAGGCCAGGATACCTGTTGTGATTGGACGCCCAATCTCTTTTGGGTCCGTTAAGAATCATACGTCATGGACTTTAACGATTCGTTTGGCAGCTTCGACATTTTTTTTGGGGCCGTCAAGAATCACGCATGCTCAAGTCAAGGGAATATCTATTATACTATTCGATTCGTTTTTTGGTAGTGCTGCTGTTCAAAGTCAAGACATAGCCTAAGGTAAGAACCGAGTAAAAGTTTTTGTTTGTTCAACTTCTTTGTTCTTTCTGCGAGAGAGAGAGAGAGGAAAGGAGAGAGGGGGCCGCCGCCGTGGCTACAAATTAAAATTTTTATGTTTCTATCCTCTAGCCTACAAAGTCCCGCCCCCAGATGCGCACTGGCAATGTAGAAAATGAGAATAATTACACATCGACCGACGAAACAAGCTGAGGGCGGCGAGGGGCGGAATGGTCCTTTCATCGCTGACTGTTGATTCTTTAATGCAGCTGGAATTTCATGCCACGAGGAAGAAACTGCTTCTACTAGGGACTGGAGTAGTAGTAGTACTCGTGCACGGTTGCTGCCAGCAGCAAAAGCAGATAGAGACGGGAGTCTTGATGGTAGCAGCATAGCGTGCGAGGGCGGCAGTAACGAACAACTGCTATCAGCTATGTATATGTACGTCGTATTTGTGCCCCAATTCTCCAGAAATAAACTAGCGGACACAAAGAGACGGATGTGAGTCACCAGCAGCACACACATATATATATATACATGTATATGTATAAATACAACGATGGAGGAGGAGGACGACGAGAGAAGCAATAATGCAGTCCTGTACTGATTTGATTTTTATACAGACAGCGAGCATCTGCTGCAAATGGCCATTACGTACCGACCGCTGACCACAAAAAAAATTGACAGTTCCAATCCGCCATCGCGAGCAAGCAAAGGAAGGACAAATATGCAGGTCCCGCAACTCCCACAGTAATTGCCCCCACACACAACACTTGCTTTCTTCTGTGTGTGGTGGTTGGTCCCCTGCCATTATCTCCTCCTCATCATCATCATCGTCATCATTTTCGTCGCGTCTCCTCGCTCAAATCAAATTCAAATGTACTGCTACTACTACTTGCTGCCTGCGTCGACCAGACCAACGGAGATGAGATGGACTCCCCTCCGGCCAGTCCATCGTTCCTTGTGCTGCTCCCTAGCTGTCTTTTTTTAAAAAATTATTATTATTTTCTCCATTTGGCTCAAAATATTTTTACATAAACCTAAACCCTAACAAAAAGTCTTCTATATATTATCAATTTTTTCCAGTTTCAGGCGGCCGGCGTCTCCAGAGCAACAAAAAGACTCTCATCGTCGGATTTGCCCTCTTATCTAGTCTAGCTCCTTTAGGAATGAGTACCATGCATGCTACTGCTACACGATTTTCAGCGAACGAAAGCACTACGAGTTTTTAAAGCTTGGTTTGAATTCTTGACAATTGAGTTTGAAAAAAATGTATCCAACTTAATACTGCTCTTTGATCCATTATCAAAAAAAAAATGTATCCAACTTAATGCTCTTTGATCAAAATCAAGTCCGCTAATGGGCTAAAATTTCCAGGCTAGCTCATAAAGTTAATAGCCACCAATCCTCCTTCAACCATACATACATTACCACTTGATAATAATAATTGAATTATATCGCAAACAAGAACTCGCCACCAAACCAGGCCAAATTTGAGTACCGTTACCCATATTAATTGTTTTTTAACTCTCTATCTCCATGCTAGCCCATATGTGTAGCTTACTGTCATTTGTCCATTGCATGTGGTGTGGTGTGGTGCGTGTGCCGATTGATACGAGAGACTTTGAGGTTTTTGGATATGACGATTTCCAATGCACTCTAGTCGCCACGCATTGTACTTAAATTGCGATTAATTCATTAAATGGGTTGGGGTTAGGGGCATCAACCCCCTGGGGGGTCCGGATCCGGCTGGTCTGTAGTGGACCCGATTCCAACGAGTTTTGATTTTAAAGTCTCTGAAACAGGTCCAACGGGTCCGAGTCGAATTCGGGTTTAAAGGCCTCAAATTTAATTTTTCAAAATCAATTACAAATCCAATCTTCAAATTTAAACAAATTGAATCACAAAAATTCGCAATAGTCAATTTAAAACCAACCACAAATCAATTTACAAAATCATCACTAAATTGTTAATTTGGTAAAAAAATTATTTAGAAATATTTATATTTTATAAGTATTAATATATTGTTCGGTTCGAGTTGAATCCCGGTCGAAATCTTATATTTCATATCCAATCCATTTTTCTTTAGAATAAACGAGTTCGAGTGTTGAAATTATTTTTCAACCCCAAATTCGAAAATTTTTATCAGATCCGAACCTAAACCCAATCCCTTGCATCAATCCCTTGCAATTGGGTTGGGGAAAAAAAAGGTAGTGTAATGGGAGGGGTGATATTATTAGTAGTATTGACCTTTTCCCTCTAAGAAGCTATGCAAAGTACGATGAGCCCTATTTGGATTGCTGAATTATTTCACGTTATATTTAGCTTATGTCATAAGTACATTTCTCAATCCATAATTTTATATTTTCAACTATTTTTTTTATGTCATATACATTATTGTATCAAAAAAAGTGTTATGGTACTTATTTCAAGTAGTACTCTATCAAAACACGCTCAATTCTAGGATGTGTTTGGATAGGAGATTATTTAAAATATTTTTTTAAAGAAATATTAATGTAATATTTTTTTAATATGAGATATATGAGATTAAAAAATAATTAAAAAAATATGTTTATGATGTAATGGGATAAATTTGTGGCAAAGCAAAGGAAAAAGGAACGCTTAACAAAAATCACTAACAAGCAATTAATATGTGACTTGTGTTTATCGTACGGAACAAGTGTTTTTTTTGGTGTTGGGGGGGGGGGGGGGGTAATCAACTACGTTAAGACATGAAAGTAATCATTTGAATGCGCAGATTCATCATATTTATGTTTGACTTGTTGTTGTGTTTAGACACTACTATTAATCTTATCTTTTGATTTGTTAGGTTTGCTGACAGGAAAATACGTCAAGTTAACCTGAAATTAGTGGACCTGCGACGCGAGTGAGTGACCGAGCCGAGGCGCTAACTAACTGGATTGAGTTTGTACTAGCAGAGTATTTGGTTTTGACTGCTGGTATTTGCCCTGATACGATGCGACTGCTTTCTACTACAAAAGAGTTTCGAAGAGGGCACCGGTTAAGTGAATAATTAGTAATAGTAATTATGTAAATGGCACTCCCTAATGCATACTTAGCTACTGCCACAACTACTAATAAAATTAATATTAAATAAATACTCCCCACCCTATGGCTATGGGTACAAAGAACCTAAATATTAATTATTACTATTATGTTGCACTATTTGCAGCACTCATCATATTATTATTATTTCTTTTCTTGCCAATCCTCCACTTTTACTAGTGCTGCAAACCCAAAAAAAAAAAAAATTATTTGTTCCTTCTTCTAGCTGTCCCTCAAATATTTTCTTTTTTTCGTATACCACCTTTTTCTTTTCCTTTTCTTTTTCCGTCCTACCATCCCCCAACCCCACCACACACCTGATTTTCCCCCTCTGCTATTTTTCTGCATTTGGTTCCATTTGTTAAATCCTGTCTCCTCTCTCTCTCTCTCTCCTCTCTAAATATTATCTTTCCCTCTCTAAATCGCCGGCGATCCTCTTCTGCTTCCACCTCCGCACGTCTTCCGGATCAAATCTTGACTTCCCTACTTTCTCGCCAGGTTCTGTTTCTTCTTATCAGTTATCCACACCCCCCCTCCCTGCTTACTCTCTTCTACTGTCTTCTGCTACTAGCATACAAAACTTACCACTGTTTCTTGTTGTTGTTCATCTACACTGTAACTATTTCCTATAATAACCCAAAAATAACTATAATACATAGACGATCTGGTTCTTAAGTTGCGGAAATTTAGCTACTTTAATAAAAGAGTCGGAGGAGGATTCTGGGTTTTTGGGGAGATGTAGTTGGTGTTGGTAATTAAGATTCGAGGAGGATGTATTTGGGGCTTTGTGGGGTTTACCCTTTCTCGGGTTTTCTGGATTTTTAGTGACATTAATTGGCGGGTGACATCAAACAAAAAAAAAGGGTTTGATCTCTTCTTCTTCTGTCCGTGGAATTGGCTGTTGGAGACTTGTCTATCTACCTACCATTTCTGGCCTTTTGGTTTCTGGGTGATTTGGGTTTTCAACCATGGAAGCCAAGATTGGGGGAAAGGCCTACCATTATTATGGTCCAGTGGTGTCAGATTTGAAGGCTCTTGGGAAGAGGACTGTGGAATGGGATTTGAATGATTGGAAGTGGGACGGGGACTTGTTTACCGCTGCACCACTCAATTCTCTGCCCTCCGATTGTAGGAGCAGGCAGTTCTTCCCCACAGGATCAGAAATTCCCACAAACTCCCTTGTGTCCAACAGTGTATCATCTGGTTCTGATGAAATGTTTGTCGGGAGTGACAAAGGCAAGAGGGAATTGGAGAAAAGGAGGAGGGGTGTTGATGGGGAAGATGAAGAGTTGACTGATGAGGCAGGATCGCTTCATCTGAAGCTGGGTGGCCACTTGTACCCTATCACAGAAGGCGATGTGGATAAGTGGGAGGGCAAGAGTGGGAAGAAAACAAAAGTTGTGGGGCCTTCATCTAATCGTGCTGTCTGCCAAGTGGAGGATTGTCGTGCTGATTTGAGCAATGCTAAGGATTATCACCGGCGACATAAAGTCTGTGATGTGCATTCTAAGGCTACCAGAGCTTTGGTTGGGAATGTTATGCAACGGTTCTGTCAGCAGTGTAGCAGGTTTGTTTCTTGATCGACTTTTTCTCGTGTAATTTTGTTTGTGAACGTGGGACACTCTTATAATTGTGACAACTATGTGTACTATTCCTATAATTGGGTTCTTCCTTTTACGCATTTGCAATGCAAAAGTAATTGGGTTGCGAACCGCATGGTTGTGGTCCCAGTCAACACTTTGATCTGATTTGGATGGGAAATCTTCTGTTTTAAATGGACTACTAAAGTTAGACACTTCCCTTCCCTGCAAAGTAATCATCTTTTTAGTTGGATGCAATCTGATTCTATTCGAGTAGGTTTCATGTTCTTCAAGAGTTTGATGAAGGTAAGCGGAGCTGTCGTAGGCGTTTAGCAGGTCATAACAGACGGAGAAGAAAGACACATCCAGAGAGCGTAGAGAGCGGTACCCCAGCTACAGATGAACGGGGCAGTAATTATCTACTTATCAGTTTGCTAAGGATACTCTCCAATATACACTGTAAGTATTTTGTTCTTTGAAAATCATTTAGTCTCTTATCACATTCTTCTTAGAAATTCATTTTCTCCTGGATTTTGGTGGGTTTTCAATTTGGTTCTGACTCTAGTTGCATGGATGGTTTTGTTTGACCACTTATTGTCCATGACGTTTCAATGACTTGGTGCCATTGAGCCATGAATTTTCTGTTTGAGCCGGGATGATCAGTGAGGCGATAGACAAAGTGTGTGGCTTATTCAGCCAATTTTTTTCTGTGCAAGTGACCGTTATTTAAATGAGGGTTCGAAGTTTCAATTTCTTCACCTGAGAAATTTATGAAAATTAGCTGCAGTAATGATGACACTACATCATGGTTGTTCCCTACAATGTGGAATGGCTAATCTTCCTGATGAAAAGGATGACTTTTGAGGTGAAACAGTAACAGAATGCGAAGGATGGCTATTGATAATAGATGCTGTGAGAATCCAGGATGGATTTTGGTTCTCAAATCTGCGTAGAATTTCTGTGAACTAGAGTTATGTACTGCAATAAATAATTTTTGTTTACATCCTTCACAACCGTCGTTTGCTGTTTACTTTAGATGGGCTACTGGGTGATGGAATTATTGGTGGAATGCCAATTCTTGTTTGATGCCCAAGTTACTGCAACTTGGTGATTTTGCCTCAAAAGCAGCAAGTACCAAGTTTACTTCAGGGCCATGAACAGATGGATGACAATTGAAGTATCGGATAACTTCCTCTAAAGTTCTGTCAGTGTGGTTGAGTAGCACTTTTATGGAGTAGTATGAGATTGTCTATTGGTGCCAATTACTTCTGCAAGGCAGTTTTGAAGCTAGATTTTTCTTGTGTGTACCTGGTAATGAGTGCCCTATAGGTCCATCTCCATGACACGTCACACCTATATTACTCTTTAGTAAGCGTCCACTCTAGATAAACTACCTCAATTTTAACAAAATAGCGCTGCTGTTTTTTTTTTTGGGGTAGCAAAATCCTAAGATATGAAAAATTTTGTGACACAAGATTGGCTAATGTCATGCCATCTCTTGATGTATTTAAATCAGGTCTTGTTTTTAGATGTGCTCTTGGGGATGCTAGTCCACTGCAGTATCTCACGTTGGACTGGGGAAGTTGTTTTTACGGTTAGGATGTGGAGTTTAATCGTGAGCATAGTGAAGGCCTTTATTTGGTCATGAAGCCATAGAGTTGATGCATTGCATTGTAGAGCGAGAAGTAGCGTGTATAAACTATTAATGATGAAGGGGATCAAGGGGTTTTGCTGCACCTTATGCCCCTCAAAACTCAAAAATCTAGTTTTTAAGTGAATATGTTATTCAGCTTGCATCAGACCATAAGGATGATTGGAAAAGCACAAGTATACTGAAATCAGCACCTTTTGATGATGTAGAGAATAGATCATAATTGTGTGCCAAACCTGAAAGCAAATGCTAGAACATAGGAGGTGCCTGATAATTTTCTCCAGAGCATTTCGTTTTAGGTTTAGCTGTGAACTGCAGTACAAGTTTGCTGTATTCTAATGGTTCCACCTTTTTGTCATTTGCAGCAAATAATAGCTCAGATCAAACAAAGGATCAGGATTTGCTATCCCATTTACTGAGAAGCCTGGCTGGTCTTGCTGGTATAGTTAATGAGAAAAACTTGACTGGATTATTACCTGGATCTCAAGATTTGCAAAATGCTGGGACATCTGATGGGAATCCTGCAAAGGTATCAAATTTGGTTCTACAAAATGCTGAATTTTTCCCTGTACCGGTGCACTTCTGAGTTCTGACTGTTTCAATTTGCAGGACCCTTCTAGGAATATGCTGCAATATTCAACCATGCCTGCTTCTGAATCAGCACAGAAAAGAATTTTGGGAGATGATGATAACGGGATTGTACGAATTTCATCTCCAGCTCAATCCACTCTACTTTTACCTCCAATAGAAGGCATCTTGACCAAAGCAAGTTCCTTGGGTACTACCGTTGGGAAGACAAGAATGAATAACATTGACCTGAATAATGCTTATGATGATTCTCAAGATTGTATAGAAAATCTACAAAGTTCTGATTGCCCTACGCATATTGGAAAAGCTTCTTCTGGCTGCCCTTTATGGGTGTATCAAGACCCATACAAGTCTAGCCCACCCCAGCCAAGTGGGAACTCAGGCTCTACATCTACGCAGTCACCATCCAGTTCCAGTGGAGAGGCCCAGGTATGAGTGATACTTTTGATTAGCCTTCCTTTGCTCGTTGTTTAGTATTTTAACAGTTGCATTTTGCAGTAGTCATGCAAAAAATATAACTCCACTCTAGCATGTACTATCCCTCACATACACATGGATTTTCACATCCTGTTATAACACTCTTCATCTAGTTAAGAAGCTATTTCTTTTGTACTATAAAAGAAATCATCTGGCAAATGCTGGAGAAGTATCTGAAGTTTAGGAATTGGCTTTGATGTTGATTCCATGTTTCTCTGGCTTCTGTTCAGCTCATTTAGTTTCATATTTTCAAAAACAAAATTTTGTTCTTTCAATACCAAAAATTGATAATAATATAACCTACAGAACCAACGGTAACGGTTGGTTGGGTAATGCCACCTCCATCTGGATTTCAGCTTTTTAAAGGCAGCAGGTTTTGTAGTCCTTTGAAGGGAGAGCAAAACTTGGACAGTATATGATTCGCTCTAGTTAAGAAGCTATTTTTTTGTACTATAAAAGAAATCATCTGGCAAATGCTGGAGAAGTATCTGAAGTTTAGGAATTGGCTTTGATGTTGATTCCATGTTTCTCTGGCTTCTGTTCAGCTCATTTAGTTTCATATTTTCAAAAACAAAATTTTGTTCTTATGTGATCCGTCTGTGACACGTTTCCAAAACAAAAGTGAATTATTCTTGACAACAGAATTTTGCTATTTTCCAGAGCCGCACAGATCGAATAGTTTTTAAACTCTTTGGGAAAGACCCTAGTGATTTTCCTCTTGCCCTTAGGAAACAGGTATGTGGATGTTCGATATCCATGATGCTTGACAGCATTTTCTTGTTTTGTCCATCTAAAGTTGATGTTGTGTTGTAAAATGGCTTAGCAGATTCTTGATTGGTTATCACACAGTCCTAGTGACATTGAAAGCTACATCAGACCTGGTTGTGTCATACTAACAATTTACATACGCATGGATAAATCCACATGGGAAGAGGTAAGCTTTTGGTACTCATCACTAAAAGTATATTGCTCTTATTGCTACTATAGAAGAAGTTATCGCTAATTCTGTTGGTATTAACAGAGCTCTGTTTGTTCTTTGTGCTTGACTATATCATATTATGATCAAACTTTGACTTCAGCTTGAATAAAGCTCATAAAGAGGGAATGAGCTTGACATCAGACTGTTGTGTGAACCAGATTGGGCTTTTCTTTTTTGAGCTTGATCTGGCTGCCATGCTTTCAGCTCTGTAGAATCTTCTGTGCTGATCTAAGTTACTGCTACTATGCAGCTGTGTTATGATCTCACCTCCAGTTTGAGGAGGCTTCTTGATGCATCTACAGATTCTTTCTGGAAAAGCGGATGGATATATGCTCGAGTGAGGCATCGTGTGGCATTTGTATATGATGGTTTGTTCTCATTTTATCTTGTAGTGTTCGCATCTCTCTTCCAGTTATTATTATACTTAGAGCAGTTACGGAAAACACTTGCATTTTCTAAAGGAAGATTGGATATCTTGATGTGTCCTGCTGCAGGCTGCATTGTTTTGGACACACCATTACCGCATAAGAGCCAAAAAAGTTGCAGGATATTAAATATCAAGCCAATTGCAGTTTGCGCCTCTGGTGAAGTTAAATTTTCAGTTAGAGGAATCAACTTATCTCAACCCACCACTAGGTATTCTCCTCAGACATTCATAAGATAGTGATCTGTAAGTGTGCTTCAAATCTTAAATCTTTGAATTTGTCTCAAGTTGTTGATGCGTGTTATCTGTACCTTTTCAGGTTACTATGTGCACTAGAGGGAAAATATTTAGCCCAGGAACGTTGTGCTGATGTAATAGGCGGAGCTGATCTATACATTGAGCATGCTGAGATCCAGACACTTAACTTCACTTGCACTGTACCAGATGTTACTGGCAGGGGATTTATAGAGGTATTCATTATAGGTTCTTATGGTCTGCAAGCTCCTAAAAATCCTGCTTAGGAAATAGAAGGTGTGCTGATAATTTATAAGCATGAAATATATGAGCAAACAAACTTATAAAATGAGATATATGAGCCAAAAGGATCTATTTTCAATTACATGTGCTCTCTCTCTCTCTCAGAGAGCAAAGTGGGCCTGGCCCTGAAGTCTTCTGTGACAATGTTTTGATTACCTGCTTAAGACTTGATTTTTGTCCTCCAGGTGCTCACAGATATTTGCACTATCAATGGTCAAGGTTGGATATGAATTCATTATAGAGTACATAGTGTTGAAGTTGGTGTCAGTAGTCATATTGTTGCTCAGGTGTTACATAATCAATGTTTTATATACAATGGGGGTTTGTTTTTTCCTGATTGAGTGCCTTTTTATTAGGTTGAGGATCATGGTCTAAGCAGCAGCTTCTTTCCATTTATAGTTGCCGAGAACGATGTTTGTTCTGAAATATCTACCCTGGAGAGCATCATTGAGGCTGCTGAAATTTCTAATGGTTTACATGGAAACAACCAAAATTTAGAAGCCAGGAACCAAGCTCTGGACTTCATACATGAAATTGGTTGGCTTCTCCATAGAAGTCAGTTGAAGTTTAGATTGGGTCAACAGGATCCCAACTTGGATACATTTCCCTTCCAGCGATTCAGATGGCTTATAGAGTTCTCAGTCGAACATGACTGGTGTGCGGTGGTCAAGATGCTTTTGAACGTTCTGTTCAACAAACTCATGGGTGAAGAAAAACGCTCTTCAATTGAAGATGCACTGCTGGACATTGGGTTGCTCCATAGAGCTGTTCGGCGAAATTGTAGGTCCATGGTTGAAGTCCTCCTAAGATATCATCCAGATGCAGATCTGAATAAATTAAGTGCAATCCGCTATGTATTTAGACCTGACGTCAAAGGCCCTGGGGGCTTGACTCCTCTGCACATAGCAGCCGGACGCGATGGAGCTGAGCATGTGTTGGATGCATTAACTGATGATCCTGGACTGGTACGGCCCTTCCTAATATGCATATTGTTGTTAGTGGAACATTACTTTTGGAAATGGAAAAATACTGCCCATGTCCCGCTCCAAATTGGAAGAAAAAACCAGAAAAAGGAATAAAAACAATCAATGTAACCCTATAATCTATTCGATAGCAATTTTTTTTTTATTTTTTTTATTTTAGAGGGGAGTTGGGGGGTGTTTACTGCCTTGGTGTGGCTTGCATTGTCTGTTCTTCTTTTCCTGTGTTCTAGGTACTTAATAATTGATTTTCACTCTTGATGAGCAATACACCTGTGCGTGTGTGCCTGTATGCCCCGGCAGCACTTTGCTTCCATCACGGCTCTTGCGGGATCTTTTGCTTCTTTCTTTGGCTTCTGCATTTGTGTGGCCAGAAATGGAGGGATCCAGGAGGGCATATTGCTCTTTCATAATTTTTGAAATTTAGACCAGTTATTTTTTTACTATTTATTTTTGGGGTCAATTTTTCAATGAGGTTTTTCCTGAGATAGAAAGCTGCATGTACTCAGAGCAGGTGCTTGTTTGGATGACTGTTCTGCTTTGGTTGTAGCTATCTTAGCGCTGTGTCTGATGACTGCTTTGTTCAGGTGGGAGTTGAAGCATGGAGAAGTGCCCGTGACAGCACAGGATTGACACCAAATGATTATGCATGCTTGCGAGGTCACTACTCATACATCCATCTGGTCCAAAAGAAAATCAATAAAAAATGGGGCAGCCAGCATGTGGTGCTTGAGATTCCTGATGGTCATCTACAGAGCAGCATGAACCAGAAAACGGCAGATGAAAATAAGTCAAGGAAGGTTTCCAGCCTCAGTACTGAGATGAGTGTAGTGAAACCAAGTCACGTACACTGCAGGCAGTGTGAGCAGAAATTGGCTTATGGAAGGAACAGAACATCGCTAGCAATTTACAGGCCGGCCATGCTTTCGATGGTTGCAATTGCGGCTGTCTGTGTTTGCGTGGCTTTGTTGTTTAAGAGCTCTCCGGAAGTGGATTATGTTTATGGTCCCTTCAGGTGGGAATATTTGGAGTATGGATCAAGCTGAGGTGGGAATTTGTGGCATTGTTGTTGGAGTGGGGCTTGTAAAATAAAAAGCTTCCCTTGAAAAAAAGATGTTGCCCATGTTTGTGTTGATCTCATATAAGTACTAAATATTACTATATAGGTAGGAGCTACAATGCTGTAGCTATGTATATTTATTCATGCTTTGTGATTATTTCGGATCATAAAGAAAGATCAGTTATCTGAAGCTGATGTATTAACGCAACATAGGCTGTAATAATTCTTGGTGGCAGATGATCCATATGGATGAGGGGGCGTAGAAGGATTTTTTTTTTTTTTGCAAGGATTCGAAGATATTATCTGTTGTTATCCAAATCTGGAGATATTGGAATGTTAATTAGTGGCCATATTTTGATCGGTGACGTTTAATGAATGCAAGCTCACATGAAACTACCAGCATTTGTTCTAAATCTCTTCCATTCTTAGTCGTTGTTGAGTAGTAGTTGATTTTTGGACAAACAAGAGCGATTGAGCAGAGGCCCGAGGATCATCATCATCATCATCATTTCAATTCACGCAGAATTTGCGTTGGCACTTGGAGAGAAGGTCATTGCACGAGCACGACCGCCCAATCCCCAATCTACAACATTATTCTGGTAGTATGCGCTAGGCACTTGGGCAGCAGCAAATTCAGAGGCCGCCGCCAAAAGATAGAGAGTGAGGGAGGCGGCTTTAGAAGGAAGGTGGTCCGTCGGCCGGCAAATGACGACGACATCCCCATTTTCCTTGTCCTTCTCGTCCTCCCTCCGTCCCTCACCTCTCCCTCATCCCCGCAGAGCCACCCTGATTAACTTGGCCTCAACCCATTCCATCTCAGAGCTTGTAATGATTCGTTGCGCCGCCCCCGCCCTGGCATCCACTACCCGGGCAGCCGCCGCAGCTCCCTTGACGTCGCCCCCCCAAAAAAGGCACTGGAAACAAGGCGAGTACCCAGGTCTCATTCAAGACTTCTCAATTTCCCAAAAAAACAAGAAGACCCACCCCATAAAAAATATTAAGAAGAAACTGGATAAGAAGAACAATGCCAAGGCCTGGGCCAACACTGTCACCGAAGCTCTCTCCGATTGCATTGACAAAAAGCAGTGGCTCCCAGCCCTCCATGTATGATTCTTCAAGCTTCTTTCTGTTTTCTGTGTGTTATGTTTCCCTCTCCTCGAATTTTTTTGGAGGCGCGAATTTTACATTGGACTTTGGTGCTTCCATCAATCAAGGAAAAAGAAAAAAAAAAAAGAAGATGATCTTTGTATCGCTATTGCCGACAGACATTAGAATTTTTTGTTCTTTTTAAACTTTTCGCTTAATTTAAGCAAATAGATTTGGCTAATCGTGCGAATGTTCTGGGGAAAGTATTTTCTGGTGTGCTGAAAAAAAACTCGTCATCTTGTCTGCTTTGTGGCATTAAGAAAGTGGTCCTTTTAAAAAATTTCAGGTATTTGAGATGCTGAAAGAACAGCCCTTTTATCAACCAAAAGAAGGGACTTACATGAAGCTCCTCGTTCTGCTTGGGAAATGCGGTCAACCACAACAAGCCCGTCAGCTTTTTGACACGATGCTTGAAGAGGGATTGCAACCCACTTCAGAACTTTACACGGCCTTGCTTTCTGCTTATTGTAGAAGCAACATGATTGATGAAGCATTTTCAGTTCTTGATCGAATGGTAGTCCTTCCTCTCTGTCAACCAGATGTTTATACTTACAGCATCCTGATTAAGGCTTGTATGGATGATTCTCGTTTTGAGATGGTTGAGTCACTTTATCAACAAATGGCTGAAAGATTAATTACTCCTAATACGGTCACTCAAAATATAGTTTTGAGTGGTTATGGGAAGGCGGGAAAATATGAACAAATGGAGAAAGTGCTCTCAGGAATGCTCAAGAGCACGTCGTGTAGGCCTGATGTATGGACAATGAATATTATATTGAGTTTGTTTGGGAACAAGGGTCAGATTGAGATGATGGAGAGATGGTATGAGAAGTTTCGTGATTTTGGCATTGAGCCCGAAACCCGAACTTTTAATATCCTTATTGGTGCTTATGGGAAGAAGAAGCTGTATGATAAGATGTCATCTGTTATGGAATACATGCGCAAGCTTTCATTTCCGTGGACAACATCAACCTACAACAATGTCATCGAGGCGTTTGCAGATGCTGGTGACGCCAAGCACATGGAGTGCACATTTGATCAGATGCGTACCGAGGGTATGAAGGCAGACACTAAGACATTCTGCTGTTTGATTAAAGGTTATGCTAATGCGGGTGCTTTTCACAAGGTCATCAGCTGTGTTCAGTTGGCTGGGAAGTTGGAAATACCTGAGAATACATCCTTCTACAACGCTGTCATTTATGCTTGTGCAAAGGCTGAGGATTTAATGGAGATGGATAGAGTTTTCAAGAGAATGAAAGAAAAGGAATGCCAACCAGATTCTCTGACATTCTCACTTATGGTTGATGCTTACAGGAAGGAAGGTATGAATGACAAAGTCTACGATTTGGAGCAAGAAAAACAGATGATCAAGGCTAGTGCAGTGGGAGCCGGCCAAGATATTGAATCACAAACCCTTGTTGATCCGTGGTTCAGAGTCTGAAATTGTGATTACTTTCTATAGATGTCCATGTTAATAGTTCAAGACCAGCAAAACAGCAGTTTTTGACTGGTTCTGGGTGGAACTACTGATGAAAATTTTTATTGCCGAGCTAGACTTCTGGGCAGATAATCCAACAGCAACTCTGCCTTGCACTTAAGTCGAGTGCTACTACGTGGAGAACATGGATGATCAACTACTTCAGCACCTCCGTTGCACATAGCTGTCGTTTTATACTTCTGCATTGTACTTTTTTAACCCAAAATGCAGCACGCAAGGCCGTCGATTGCAAAGTCTCTGTTATATGTATTGTGGAAAAAAGAGTGCCATCTGAAATTTAAACGGTCACTGTTAGTGTAATATCAGGCTTTTCATCTCCCCATTCCTTTTCTTTCCTTTTTATATATATAGTTTGGTTGGTACAATTATAATCTTTTATATACTGGAGTTCCTTTTCTTTTAATGTATACCCAGTTTTGTTAGTAAAATTACTAATCTTTTATAAACTGGAGTAGAATAAGACGTGCACAGAATAAGAGCAAGCAAATAAATCAATCAACAAGGGGATGAGATAAAGGAGGTTGGAAAGTGAATCATCAGAGGGAATCTCAATGGCTTATTGGCTTTTGGGAGTAGGCGTCTGAAATGAGACATATCACATCCTATTTCTCAGGATGGGTGAAGCTGTGTCCTGTGCCCTTGGTTTATCATTTCCACTGGTGAAGTAAAAGCCTTCTTCCTATCTGTGCTTGTAATTAATTCTATTTGGAGTAAAAGCTCTCTTGAATTTGCGACAACAGTTAGGAGTGAGTAATGAGTGATTGAACAATAATTAGCTAATAAAATTTGCAGACTATCTGTATCTGGACGAGACTGGCAGAGAGTCCAGTTCCATGCAGAAAGATCCTTAGGGCTTGAAGAGGAATATTAGCATGAAGTGAGAGTGAAAGAGGGGCATTCTTTCTTATCCTACTATTCTTGCTCGTCTGTCTTTTTCCTGCACATGGGAGATTACACGACGCATCATGGATCTACATGATTTCTCATAAAAATAGATAAACTGAGGGTGAAAGAATTTAATCTTAATAGGCTAAAAAGAGCAGCATCAATAAAGAAAGGACCGATGCAAACCATGATAGAATACCAATGAGATTTGGGGTAAGACTTGCAAATGCACCTTAGACCACTTTGTAGAACAAATACCAGGGATTATCAAAAAAAAAAAAAAAACAAAAAGAGTTACCGGTAGAACAAATGTACAGATAAGAAAAAAAAAAAAGAAGCAAAAATCCCAACTTCATCCTGTGGCAGCACTAATCTGGATTAGGCTAGACCCTTCTCCCATTTGAGAGGCTTAACCACCTCCCATGTGAAGTCGGGGTCATCTCGGCCAAAATGTCCGTAAGCAGCAGTCTTCAAGAACCTGTTATTCCCACCTCTCTTAAGATCCAAATTAATGGCAATCATACCAGGCCTGAAATCAAAGTTATCCTTCACGATCTTGAGAATTTCTTTGTCGGGGATCCTTCCTGTGCCATAAGTGTCCACAAAGACAGACAAGGGCTCAGGGACACCAATGGCATATGAAACCTGCACAATGCACCTCCTCGCAAGTCCATTGCCAACAATGCTCTTGGCAGCTTGCCTGACAATGTAGGCACCACTCCGGTCCACCTTGGTTGGGTCCTTTCCGGAAAAGGCACCACCACCGTGAGCACCCCATCCACCGTAAGTATCAATAATGATCTTGCGGCCGGTAAGACCAGCGTCGCCATGAGGACCACCAATGACAAAGCGGCCAGAAGGATTGAGGTGGAAAACTGTTTTCTCATCGAGGTACTTCTTGGGAATCACAGGCTTAATGACATGCTCCTTCAGATCAGCAGCAATCTCATCGTTGGTGACGGTCTCGTCATGCTGAGTGGAAATCAAGACAGTGTGAACTCGGACAGGAACCATGGCACCATTCTCATTGTAGTACTCAACAGTCACTTGGGTTTTACCATCTGGTCTGAGCCAGGGGCAAGTACCATTCTTGCGAACCTCTGTGAGGCGGGCACCAAGCTTGGTTGCAAGAACATGGCTGAGAGGCATCAATTCAGGGGTCTCATCGGTGGCATAGCCAAACATGTGTCCCTGGTCACCAGCGCCTACTTCCTCGGGGCACTTGGTGAGATGACCGTGGACACCCTGAGCGATGTCAGGGCTCTGCTGTTCAATGTTGACAAGGACCTTGCAGTTGTCAGCATCCAAGCCTACATCATCAGAAACGAAACCAATGGCACGGCAGGTGTCGCGGACAATTTTCTCATAGTCGACCTGGGCCTTGGTGGTGATCTCACCGAAGACCATGACCATGTTGGTCTTGGTGCAGGTTTCGCAAGCAACCTTGCTCTCGGGGTCTTGAGCCAGACAGGCGTCAAGCACTGCATCCGAGATCTGGTCACAGAGCTTGTCGGGGTGCCCCTCATTGACAGACTCAGAAGTGAACAAGAAGGTCTCCATTTTCTTCTTTCAAGCTGCAAACACTCGATAAATGACAAAAAATAAACAATAAATAAATTAATTGAGGCGGAAGTGGAAACAAACAAAGTGGGTGCAGAACAGAATGAAAACAGGGGAAAAGCCAAGAGGGCACGGTTAGTAAAAGGATCCACCACTAAGAGATTATGTTGCAGCGGGAAGACCCGATGTAATTTTACACAGGAAAAGCAGAATCAAGGGGCTAACTTTCCTACGCCTGGTATCGAATGGATCGAAGGAAATGCACGGATTGATGTGGAGAGTAATAGTAATTAATCAACAGCAACGGGTTACTGGAAAACTATCAATAGATGATATTAAGTTGGCAAGATACGGGGAGGTTGCAATACAGGGTAAGGAGAAAACAGAAGATCCGCTGGGATTCCGCAGCAGAAAACGGTATTGTTCAATGAAAAACGTAGCAACACGCATAAGTCTAGGAAACGAAAAAAAGAAAAGGTGACAACTTTTTTACTACTGTAATGAAGAAATCCATACACGGACGTGTTCTTAACATAAACTTGAAAAAAGAATGAAAGAAAGAGATACAACTACTGCACCAGTATTACTACTACCGAAGCAACAAAGAAAGAAAGAGCTTGAAGAATACCTTGGAATAGCAGAGTGTCGTCAGATTTGGGTGCGTTTGAAGGAGGAGGAGCAATCGTGGAGGGGAGCACGAAACAAAGGGAGGCGTTCTTCCTAATATATAGGGCGGGAGGGGCGGGGGCTCTGGGTAGTTGGCCGCCTTCCTGTTCTGGGCTTTCTTTGAAAATGGGAACAACTACGGATTGTAAAATGTAAACTTCGTAACAACCTCGTAATATGAGGCCGCATTCATTCTACTACAGTCTACAGTGTTTCTTTTTTGCATTTTTTTAATTTTCGTAACAAAACAAGATTCTTCCTTAGATAGACAGTAATAGAATGGATGCCCATTGTCCGTAGGTAGGGAGGTCAACTAACGTAAAGTAGAGTAAGTAGGTGGAGATCCAGAGTGGTGGTCCCTCACTCCTCCTGTCCCTCGCTCTACTACACCTCCATATCTACGGCTACGGTGTTAGAATGTCTATGGTAAAAGTCAACGCGAAGCCGTCCGATGTAACCCAGTCCCCAGTCCCCTGGTCACGGACCCTGTATTTTTTTTTTTTTTTTTTTTTAAATTTTGGATCCGTAAACAGAAATTTCAATGATGTTTGGTAAAAGTAAAACCTTGCTTATTTTTTGTCATTAGTCCTTTTCTTGTGGTTGGTTGGTTGGTAAGTAGGTTGGTTCATGGTTGGTATACTAATAAGTTTTGGCAAAATCGCAAATTGAGGGTAAAGTAATTTTCTTGATCGCTACTTTGTACTGGTAGTAGTAGTTGAAGGTAGATTAGATAGGAGAATGGGGGGATTGGACGAGGACGAGGACTGCTACCACCGCCGCCACGAAGCATCATCCGTGGGTAGTTGTAGTATCGCCATCCCGCCGCTTCAAACCCTCGATGATGGCAGCCGAAGCAGTGGAGTAGAAATCATCTCCTTCTCCGATGTGGTGGACGATGCCTCCCTCCACTTTCACATCATCCGTCTTCACCAGCAGGCAGGATTTCTTTCTTTCTTTCTTTATATTTTTTCCAAACTTCCATCGCCCAGACCATTCTTGTCCCCCTATCGTCGTCTGCTGCCTTAATTCTTTGAAATACTCTCTAACTCACTAGTGCACGCTTAATTCTTTGATTCACTTGTTTGTTCACCATTATTACCATGAATCTCCAGTTTTACTTAACTGTTTCCCTGTGTGCAGATATACGCCTGGATCGGTTGCAACTCTGCAAAATTTGGACATTTATATGCTGCTGCTCCTACACGTCCCGTAAAAAAAGCTCTTTTCTTTCATTACTTTCTCCTTTTTTTTTTGTTTGCTTGCATTTTCCCGATTTCTGTTATATTTTAGCTCATTGCTAGAGCCATGGTAATGCTAAGACCTGCCCCTTGTGCTCTTAGACCTCTGCAAAATCTAATCTTCACTTTCAAGTTTTTTATTTGGATCACTTTGAAGACGTTGGCTTTGCTGTTCTTAATTTGATGTCTACAGAGCAATGCTGTTAGTGTTACTTCTTTAATTGGAGGATCTTCTGACAACGCTGGAGCTGGTATTGCCCGTCGAATAGGTAATTCTGTCTACAGTACACTTACTCATTTACCCCATACCTACCTGGACGTGATTATCCGAGTCTTCACCCCCTTTCTCACACACGGTTTTCTTTTTCTAGTTCTCAAGACTGGTCTTAACGTTGTATTGGCTTGTAATCTTCCAAAGAATAGTCCCTTGCTTGAGGTTAGCTCTCTGACATCATGTATGCGTTGGTGGTTTTATTCAATCTTTAACAGCGCACGGTCTTGTTTATGTGCTTTCCTCATGGCAACATTTAGTAGTTATTAGGAATTTGTGGTCTCTCAAAGCCTTTTTCCACTTGGAGCTTCGTGATGTAGCTTTTGTTATGTCCCTCCTACTCTCTAAAAGGTTACGAGGCTCCCAACGCCAATCTACACAGTTGGATTTCTTTTTCTTATTGGTTCTCCTCCTCCCCCCCCCCCCCCCCCCCGCTGGGGGCTGGTGGTATTTAGGCTGCTGCTGAGAGAAGGTTGGTGCAAAAGCTTGTCAGCCTGGGTTACGCGACACCTAAATCTGGAGTATCATCCTCAACACAAGAAGGCTAACATTGGCATCCTCTGGGCAAGTTTTCTCCAGAAGAGAGTTTTCGAGAAACAACATTTAAGAGGTTTTCGAGAAACAACATTCGTCACATTCATTTCTTATCATACATACGAGCGACGTACATAACAAAGTCTATACAATCATTTGCATATGGCATGAAACTCACTCATTCCCTCTACTCTCACAATATTGTGTGCATTGCCTGCAGCTTATTTTATCTTATATGGTCTTAGTTTCCCGATAGGGTGTTCTAGAAGTTATTATCTTCCTATAGTGCATCAGCCATCCCATGCACAGTCACTTCTGCTTCTATAGTGCACCTGTCATACCACAGAAGACCGTTGTTTGACTGGTTGAAGTAACTCAGTGAAACAAATCTTGGCCAACCGGAAACGGGGTTTGATGCACTGAACCAATGCTTAGCTGCAAAGATGGTAGGATCTTATTCAGTTATTAAGCATTTAATTCAAGGGAAAAGACTTGTAGGACTGGCGTAATCTCCAGCCAGTGTTAAAGGAGAGAAAAACCTATTTTGTAGTGTGAGTTTGAGGAGGAGTACGTACCTTTACCCAGGTAATGTTTGCCTTGTCTTTGGTCTAGTATGCGCAGTGCAAACTCTACATACATTTGATTACCAGGGGAGAGGCTCGTGGGATCATCTAAAGCTAGGTATAAAGATATATGATTTCCCGTGCCACTGCCTTTTCCCTTCGGATACAACTGTATCTTCCTGCAATAAAATGCAAAGGATTCATAAGGTGATTTTTTTTTTTTTGTTGTGAGCGTGAAATCTTGTTCCCCTGCGTCTTACCATTTTTGTTCCCCCGCGTCAAATGAATTGGATGCTTCTAAATTAGATGAATCATATAAATTAGAGAAACTATCAATCTTCCAGGTACTTTTGTGGCTTACAGCGTCCTTGATCATCAATAGACTCTCCCCTTTAGCTCCAGTATAAGTTTCCTTGCACACGTATATTTCTACCCCTAAAATGCACGTGTCATTGACAAGATATCCATTAGAAGGATCATTAAGTGTTTTCAGATGCACGAGTCTGTCAAATCCCCATTCAAGCTTCATCTTGCGAAAACGTCTTGCTTTTCCTGCGGCATCCAGGTGAAGGACATTATTATTGTATCAGTGACTTGATTGATGCACTCAATCCATGGAATCGCTATGTATTAGTAGATTTTTTTGTTGTTGTTGTTTTGGGCATATAAGAAAGTTGAAGTCAAACAAAACAGGGGAGGGAATGGTGGTATCTCTAAGATGTTTTTATGTTGTGTAGGATTTGGTAGCATACCTTGGAGAGTTAGGTAGTTATCGCTGTTCTGATCAAGTAAGAACATTCTAAAAACTGCATGAACTTCCAACCCAGGACGAAGGAAGTTTTCTCGTGCCATCACCACGTACACGGACATGTAATCGGCGACCCCTTTGGTTTTATTTCCATTTGGGTAAATGGCCAACTTCCTGAAATCACAGGACACGATGGATATGAATGAGTTTTGAGAGAATTGATCGTGCACTACAAGCCATATCATTCGCAGTTTTTTTTTTTTGGTAGCAACAGAGAAGTGAGGAGCACCATGTGTAGCCTCCAGCTTCAAAATCAGCGGAGGTGTATTTCTCAACCTCATTCTTTGTAAGCAGAGAGAATGACCGGAGTTTCACGATGTAATGAGTTGGTGGCGCATCTGCAACTGAGCTTGCAACAAATTAAAATTCAATTGACAAATTAAAAAGGTCTGCCTCAACAAATATGACTTGACTAGAGAAGAGAGAGAGACGGAAACGCTAACCATCTTGGTCGCAATCTGCCATGGCGCGGGAGGGGTAGCAGGCAGAGAGTTTCCTGTTTCTTTCCTTCGGGATTCTTGGGCTTTTATATAATAGAATAGAATAAGGCGGAGAAGAATATATATTTCTTCCGGCGGGGGGATATCCATTTCTTCCTCATTTGCTTGTGTTGCTTTGAGCACAATTCTTCCATTTTCACCCACGAGACAAGCAGCGTGAGCATCTTACTTAATGCCGGGAACGCAACGTTATCAGAGGATTCTTAATGCATTGTTGTTATCATCGACCTTTTCTTTTTGCTTTAAATTCCAAGTTAAAAACTTCACTTGCTGCAATGAAATACCATTCAGGATTTATTTACGACACGATTTGCAATGTCCAGAGTCCTTACTATTATTATTATTATAGCTTCCACCAAAAATAAAAAAAGTATATATTCGCTTCAACAATCCCAACAGCCATCCTCATACTCAAGAAACCTAGGCGCAGATCTTCAAATAGCCATCTTCTGTTCCAACAAGAAAGAGCCGTGAGAAGGGAAGCACGCTTATACTTGACAATACGGACATGTTCCTTGACTCTCTGTCCGCCGTATATAGGTATTGCGGCGTCACTAGGCGCCCTCCGTCCTGCCACGTTAGGAGAATGACCAATGAATGATAATACTTCAGAACCCAGCACTGTGGACGATATTAGGGAAAGACGAAACAAACAAAAATTTCCTTTTCATTTATCTTGAATGGTTTGTTTGGCTTCATGATTAGTATTTTAATTAACCAATACCCACCATTAAACGTGAGGAAATGGTATGTTTGCCATCCGGCTTTGGGTCTTACGGACAGGAAACACTATGGATAAGTCAGATATGTTTAGGGGTCAGATAAGCCACAAACTCACACACAAATTTTGAAGATTTTCTGTAGGAGGACACGGACGTGGTAGGGGGGCAATGTAATGACGAGTTCCGCATAAATACCTCATCTGCAGATCCAGTTAAAGAAGAAAGACCAATCTTGTTTCTGGATATCGAAATCACATCCTGGCCCCATAATGAGAAACCCGACACCCCATCTGTGTGACCTTTAAAACTGATGGGTTCTGATGTCCAATTCCTGTACATTTTCATATGACAAGACGTGGGTCACCGAAGGCAAACCAAGAGATAGATTAGATAATTAAAAAAGCTAGTAAAAAGAGGCTCCAATTTACTGTCTTATAAAATATTACTTGCTTCCGTGCAAAAAAGAAATGCTACAATGTAAAGAGCCAGGGAAGTAGGAAGTGCATTCCAAAGATTATTTACCTTCTCAAATCCCAAATTCGCAAGGTTCGGTCCAAAGAACTGGAAACAAGCAAATGGTCATTTGGCGCAGCTAGCTGCAGAAATTGAATACACAAAATCATATTTTGTCTTTGCACAGTGATGAACCTTTCTCCTAATCCTAACATACCTTTGTCACATACCCCTCATGAGCTTGCCATGATGCAATAATTTTTCCGCTCCTTGAATCAAACAACACGCAATGACCAGAACTTAGACCAGCTGCAATCCAGGATGGAAAAGCATCGGGTCCTTCAGCTCGAGGTCTGGCACAAGCACACGAGCATATGGACGAGACCAAAGAAGGAAAGCTGGATTCACTGTTATTGCTCCTCCATAGATAAAGTTTCTGACCACGGTTTATATCAATAAACCTGCGCCTCATAATTACAAACTGAATTTGTGACAGAGGAAAATATTATCCGCACCCTATTTAAGCAAAAAAAATGAATTCGTTTCTTTGAAAATAAGAACAGTTATTACCTAAGAGATCCATTTCCAGCACCTACAATTAGCATATCAGTGGACTGCGAGTAATGCATACAAGTATAGAAGCTGCCGTCAAATGCATTATTCAGTATTCCAGTTGAGGATGCGTTGTAGTGTAGCACATTGGCTTCATCTGTGTCAATCTTTGAAGAAGTGCTTGAAGGACTTGCAGGATGCGCAGAATGTGTAGAAAATTCAGAAAATACAGAAATTAGCTTCCCCGTTTGACCATTCCAAACATGTACTGTCCCATCACAGGATGCTACCCTCCCCAACGAAGTCAAAACACAAATGTCATTCACAGCCTAGCAATGAAGAGGTATCAAAATAAATCAGTAATTTGCACTTAATCTTATCACAAATCACAGATTCAGCATGAGTGATGGCAGAGGTCAATATTTTATAAGATTAACCTATGTCAAAGGCAGACGAGGCAACAAGTTTCATCAGTTTTATGACCAAACTTTTTCATTGCACAGATGGATCTAGAATCCCCTTTAATAGACAATGGTACCAAAGAAGGTCAAGATAAGAGAGGAAAAGAGCACTTCTATTATAATACATTTCTTTGCTCTCACAATAATAAAACCAATAAATGGAGTTAATCCACAGGGACCACTGAAGCATACCTCCTCGTGGCCATAATAGCCAGATACACAGTCAAATCTTGCCAACTCCCACTTCTGAACAGTCCCCTTGAATCCTGGACCTACCCCAGCAGTGAAAACTGTACATTCATCTTGACAAACAGCCAGCGATCTCAAAGCTCCATGATGTGCTCGGACAGAGTGTATAACAGATGCTCTAATTTTCCATGGAATTTCATCCTTTGGACCACCTGAACGGCCGATAAAGTCAAGCCCTTCCCACCCAGATGCTGAACTAGGAAACCAATACCAAGGGTTATGCTCCTCAACATGTGAACTCGCTATATGTCTTGCATCTGAAGTCTGATAATGTTCTGATGAATGTTTTGTTGATATCAAATGTTTAGCACCTCTCTTTCGCTGTGATTGAGGTATTGACCACCCAACTCCATTGAGCAACATTTTAGCAGGTACATGGTCAGGGGTTGTTCTCTTGCTGAAAGATGATCTTCTGGCATTTGTAGTTTCTAGGCTACTTTGAGATGACTCCCCTGTATATTCCCACTGAGTGCAATAGTTTCAGAATATTAAGGCACAGAATCTACGGAGAGATTAATGGAATTACAAAATTTTACAAGAGGCAGGTTTTGACATTATTAATAATGCTCTACTTTCTAGACCCAGACTATCTTATGTTCAGATTGTTGAGATGCTGGAAATTACTTGGTCCAGAATAAAGAAAGAGTTTTTGCGAATAGTAAGATGTATACTGCACAACATTACAGTGTTGTTAGGCTCTTCAGTAAACAAGTAGCTTCAAACCACCGAAAACACAGGTTAGAGATCTACATCAATAAGCATCAGAAAGACAGAAAAGCCAGCAACTGGGAATTGCATGGCAACTATTCATCCACTACTGACCTTATCGGGATCAGTATGTTCCATCATTACTAAGTAACAGCAGACAAAATTTACTTTG